TGAACAGCCGGAGTGAGTGCGTTGCCATAACGAGTGACTTCTGCCATTCATTCCCTTTTGTGGGCTTTGAGATCACCGCGCAATTTTTATCTCACGACCGTCAATGGTGTCTCATTGTTCCCTTGTTGTTCACGAAATAGAGTGGGAAGACAACGCTGGTGGAACCGCAGAAGGTTGGTTTCTTGGCAGGGATGTTTCGGTGTTTGAGTTTCTGGGAGTAGTTGGGACTGGCCTAGTGCGTTTGGGCGCTTGGTCAGGTAAGCCACAGACCAAGAGCTCCGAACTACTTTCAGGTCCTTGAGGACGACGAGTTAGTCGAAACGTCGGCCTAATAAACGGTTCCATCATAACAAACCTGTACGGCAAAGCATTCTGAAATATTATATGCTACGACGATCAACAAGAACAAGAAGACCAGCGCACAGATGATACTGTTAAACGTAAATGAGTCTCTTGTGCTAGTAGTACCACGCTCATAGCTCATAGTACCATGCTTTTGTACTGGGGGAGGTGTTGTGAATGATAAACCACTTGTTGCTCAAGTGATTCTCATTTATTGTTTTACTACCCACTATATAATCATCGGTCAGTAGGGTTAGATTCACTTTTGTGTCGACTTGGCCTCCAGTATCCAATAAACTTCCAACTACTCCTTCTATGCCAGGCAAAGGGCACCATAGTTTCTATTATTTAGTTCAGCGCTACTGCAAATTGGTTGCATCCTGGAACCTCTTTCTTGATGATAACAACATCAGTTCTGCTTCCGGCATGTGTTTGTTTGTTTGGCTTTGTTCTTATTGTATCACCATTGCATGCCATCCTCATGTAAAAACATAACATAAGATTTATAACTTTGCCCACTGATCACTTTAGCAGATTAAATTTAAAATGATTAGATAGACAAAATTATAAATGAATGGCAAAATATAATAATAATAGGACCTACCGGATTTGCGAGGAAGTGCAGGGAGTCGAATGACGATAAGTTGGTGACGTTTTCAACTGGTAGCATGTGGCCATCATTGACTGATCGCTGAAAAATAGTGAGCCTTAAAATTAACTGTAAAAGTAAAGAGTATGTGTGAGGTCGTAGATTACTGTACTACACCCTGAGACACAGCTGATGAAATCAATTGCGATTATGAGCCTCCAAAAATGTGATAAGGTAGAAGTAGCGCTATGGATATGACCACCCACCTGTTAATAATGTTATGTGTCGGAGCAACTGAGACAGTATGCTCCAGGAAACTTCGTAGAGACTAATATCCAGTGATCACAACTTTCGAACCTCTAAGTTTAAGTATGGTTAATACTTAATACTACATCAGAAAGAAAAACCGTCCACTCGGATGCCCTATAGAGTTAATAGACGTAAGCATGAGAATACTTTGTCTATGCAACTTTGATCTTCAGCTATCCGGTGTTCTTTGAATAGTATAAAGAGGATTCAGCACAATCGGTGGGTTCCTAACAGAAGAAAGTTTAGGTTACCTGGAAATACTAAATTGACACTTAGGTAACTGCGTATTTTTCTTACTACTTCGAATATTTATCTCTAAGGGAGATTATCTATTTTTCAAAATGAACTGTAGTTATAAACCAGGTGACTGAATTTTGTTATGGTGACTAATTACCCAAGTGTGCCAATCGTTTTTTTATAATAAGAGAGTAAGGAAAAACTACTCCATTTTCTTAAACTAAACTACCTTAGTTGACAACCTAATATTATATAATAGAATCGATCTCATATCATAGACTCCAAAGACTACCAACCAGTCACCAACTTTGTTTCCTCGCAACCTATTTGTGAGTTCTTCTTTAAGGATGATATTCCTTGGGCAAATTTCGTATTATGAGAGACAAGTAGAGGTTCAAAAGGAATAACCAATAGGAAGGTAACGGGTATTATCACTCACCTCCTACGCTCTTAACTTCTCTAGTATTGTTACAGCACCATAAAACAAATGTTTCCGGATAATTATGTGTAAAAAGCATAAATACTATAGGGACTACAACCATTAACAGTTCATTATTACACCTGTTATTTTTATTTTTATCATTATCACTATAATTTGCAATAAAGGGATCAATAAGAGGACACAAACTTCTGGGTTGGATAGAGAAAAGCGGAAATTCACTAGGCAATCAATTGGGCATCCATTCAATTCAACACAATGTAAACCACAACCTAACCAATAAACAAAACAACCTACTTTTGTTTGTAAATTGCCATTTTGGGGCAAATGCCAGTCTAATACATTAAAGCTTTATGTTTTGCACATATAAAATGCACAATAGTGCATACAAAAGCAAACCGTCTTAATAAACAATACAGTGAAAATAACACCTATTTAGGTTGCACATATTCCTAAACAAAAGCAAAAAATAAGGAGAACGCGAACACTTTTTTGCACGAGTCCCGAAGGAGATCAACTCAATGAGTTCTCTTCTTACTTCCGCTACTATAACCTAACACAGTCGCTAAGACCTGCCTTGTGAAAATTCGCGATAGAAAGCTGCTGCTGCGACTGAGTCCATACTTGGCGAATACGTGCAGCCAGCTGCCAAATTGTATAGACGTATGTTAAAAGTGACATTGCCATTGAGAAAATTAGTAGCAACTGCACAATTACCATGTCATGAACAATGTTCCAAAACGATCCCATATAAATAAAGTCATCAACCGCGATACTGTGGGAAGATCCGTGTAAGAACGTTAGCCGTAGGTGGAAGATACATCGTCGGCCGTACTGGTCGAGGAATTATTGGCCGATAGAAGAGTTGAGGTGCCAACGTTGGAACAATTGGAAGCGGTGGTATTGTGGCTGGTACAGCGGCAGCAAAGCCGTCTGACATCAACTGCAAAAAACCAAATTGAAACCTCTGACTTCGTGACTTTTGATACTTCCCCTTTGTAGTTTTTTCATCTGCAAAATTTTCAATAAGGTTGTTTCTACTTTTCGAAAGTTACAAGTCCTCCCAGTGCAGTACTGGTTTTGCGCGCAGAAAAACGATACCTGACAATGCGCGGGATGAAAATTGAAGAATATTGAGAAGGCAACAGTATTATACTGAAGAACCTACATTACATTAAACAGTGAGTGAGGAAGATGACGTCTTTAAATCCCCTTGAGCACATTCAGGCATTAAGAAAAAAGCATTTGGAGCGAGATGTGTAGCATAAGGTAAGCGCATTGCGACGCGCTTGTTTACTTTATGGCAATGGAAAGCCGACCTTCTCAATCAAGTAGTAGTAATAGCCTTGACCCAAAATTAAGTCAATTTAAAAATGCAAGAGTTCACCNTCAACACAATGTAAACCACAACCTAACCAATAAACAAAACAACCTACTTTTGTTTGTAAATTGTCATTTTGTGGCAAATGCCAGCCTAATACATTAAAGCTTTATGATTTGCACATATAAAATGCACAATAGTGCATACAAAAGCAATCCGTCTTAATAAATAGTACAGTGAAAATAATTCCTACACAGGTTGCACATATTCCTGAAACAAAAGCAAAAAAATAAGGAGAACGCGAACGCTCTTTTGCACGAGTCCCGAAGGAGATCAACTCAATGAGTT